GACTTTAAGAGAGTTCTTTATGTAGTCATGCTGGTTTCTTTTGGGAGCTGTTACTTTTCTCCTTCATTGGTATTGTGCTAGACGGGGCTTTTGTAATCTCATTTTTCAAAATTTCCCATGCTTCTTGTGGTGTTTTCGCCTTGAGAATTCTCATCCATGGAATTTTTCCCAAGCTCTTCTAAGTTATTGAAATTAGCTCTCTTAAAGTCCAAGACTCTACTTTCACTTTGTTCTACTACTTGTGTTTATAATGTCATAATGTTGAATTCCAATATTGCACGGTCACTTAAACTACATTTCCCAGATGCTTTTATTTTGTGAAATGTTAGGTTCTTGGATGGTTTTAATAGTATTGATTATCCTTAGCACTGAGTATGCTATTGTTTGTTTTTTCTTTGTGTTTTTACTTGAACTGATCTGTTTTACCTTTGAATCAAGATTTTTTCCAATATCAATTATTACTTATAGGATATATTTGAAAAGGCAAATAATTGTTTCAGCTACACAAGTTATTATATTCCAGGGATCGTGTGATTGGCTTGATGATGACATCTTGCGACTTGTGTTCTGTGACAAAATTATGGCATGTTACCAGACTCACAGCCAATGATATCTACGCAGAGTTTTGGGCTGAGGTTTGTGCATTTCATCATTCATTTCCATATCTATCAGTAGACACTTGAACAGAAAATTAAGATTGATTGGATTATTGGAACTATTGATGTTATTTGTGTATTAGTTTGTTTGTAATTAAGAGGCCACCTGGCTCCAAACAACTCTGAGCAGCTTGTATTTTAAAAGTAGGAACAATAAAAAAAATTAAGAAACAGTTCATAGACACCAAGTGTCTCTCATAAGAACTTAATGTTCTGCCTTTTTTCCTCCATTATATATTTAATATCTTTAATTTTTATTATTGGGAGCTGAATAATTAAGAAATAAATGAATTTATTTTTCTTTTAGGGTGATGAAATGAAGAAGTTAGGTATTCAACCTATACCTATGATGGACAGAGAGAAAAAAGATGAAGTTCCTCAGGGTCAGGTAAGTCTAAAATAGGTTTTGAATAGATTTAATTTTGGTATATGTAGCCATTACTTAATTATTGCTATGTTTGCTTTTTGACTGATTTTCATTCTTTAAAAAAAAAGCAACAACCAGAATAATGTAACAAACTTCATAATTCTCAATAGACTAAACATCATTTTATTTATTAATTTTTATGCCACCTATCTCCCCAATAAGGCAACACTTTTTCAGCATTAATCTGTTGATTTGGTGATACTATTAAACAATTAAATGATCCAAATTACTGATCCTTAAAAATAGTGAAAGTAAAAGAAAATCCTATATTTATTAATTATGAACAACTAGGCATATCTGGAATTCTAATATGATCCCTTGTAAAATGCAACGTTGGTTATTGATTTGGCAGTGAATAATATTCATTCCACAAATCCAGAGCTATAAAAAAAGAACATTGATATCTTATTAGCTTCTTTCAGATTTGTAACAGAAAGGGGGAAAAAGGATTTAACAAACATGTAAGAGTTGTGGTAGTGCAGTGGATAGAATGCAGTACTGCTGCATTCTGCCAATTGCTGGCTGCCTGCAATTTGGCAGTTCAACTCTCATCCGGCTCAAGGTTGGCTCAGCCTTCCAGCCTTCCGAGGTCAGTAAAAATGAGGACCCAGATTGTTGGGAGCAATATGCTGAGTGTGTAAACCCCTTAAAGAAGGCTGTAAAGCACTGTGAAGCTGTATATAAGTCTTAGTGCTATTGCTATTTGTAAAATATAGTGAGGATATATGACAGTCTGTTAGCAAAGGAACTGTTGCACATTTTGAGTTGAATAATATTTGACTAATAGTGTTTTGATTTTTTTTCAAGATTGGGTTCTATAATGCTGTAGCTTTGCCCTGCTATAGTACACTTGCACAGATCCTCCCTCCCACATCACCACTCCATCGAGCCTGCAGGTAAATATAAATTTGACTTGAACAGTCAACTGAAAATTCTTAAATTTCAGTTATCAGTTAGAACAATTAATCGATCAACAGTTTGCCTTCAGAGGTTGTGGGTGCTCCAACACCGGAAGTTTTTAAGAAGAGATTGGACAGCCATTTGTCTGAAATGGGATAACCTTTCCTGCTTGAGCGGGGAGTTGGACTACGGGATTGGGCGGCATACAAATCTATTAAAATTACAAAATTAAATTACAAATTACAAGACCTCCAAGGTCCCTTCCAACTCTTGTTATTCTGTAACAAAATGTCTGCAAGCAAACAATCAATCACCATAATCGCTATGTTTCAGCCAGCATCTGCCCCTTTGGAATCCTGATTGCTCTTCTTGTTCTACCATTTCTAAATAAAAAATGGTAGTGAATGCATTAATCTACCTTCACAGTTCTGTTTAGAGGTTGCAGACATTAATGCATGAAAGGGAAACACAAGGCAAAGAAACTTAAATGTATGCAACATTAGCAGATTAATCACAAAGCAATGCTGATTATATTTTGTGGCCATGGTAATGAGATTACTACATCCAGGGGAATAAAAGCACACTTTCTCAATTTGATATTAAGCATTCAGTAATTACTGAATAGATGTTACGGAATAGGACACAGTGGCTCAGTGGCTTAGATGCTGAGCTTGTCGATCAGAAAGGTTGGCAGTTTGGCGGTTCGAATCCCTAGCACCATGTAAGATAGTGAGCTCCCGTTACTTGTCCCAGCTTCTGCCCACCTAGCAAAAATGCAAGTAGAAAAATAGGAACCACCTTTGGTGGGAAGGTAACAGCATTCCATGCACCTTCGGCATTTAGTCATGCCGGCCACATGACCACGGAGATGTCTTCAGACAGCACTGGCTCTTTGGCGTTGAAATGGAGATGAGCACCGCCCCTTAGAGTCAGGAATGAATAGCACATATGTGCGAGGGGAACCTTTACTTTTAATTAATGATACAGTTGCNGGATAGTGGGGAATGGAAGGATTCCTTGCAGGCAGCTGGTAATCTGCATCCTTTTGGAGTCTGTTGAAGCATTTGGAGGTTTATCTGTGTCCTTGGGGTCACCTGAGTAGTGCTCCTAGTTCCTGTAGTCTGCATTTCCCCCCCCTCTGGAAATCCATTCCAACACCATTCAAAGGGTGTTTATCCCAAATTGCATAGCTAAAAGTAGAACATCCCTCTAGTAGAAACCTGAGCACAGGTATATTTTTATCCATTGGTGAAATTTTCCGCAGGGTTAAGGTTGGCTCATGACCCCAAGGCGACTAGTTTGTATGCACAGATTCAACCCAATGGTAGTAAATTACTACCTGCAAAAGAAGGAACAGAAATACAGGGATGAATGGGAATCCCTAGGTTACCAGACTGAGGGGAAAGAGAAGCTCAAAGTGACTGGCTAGCTTATTTCCACACCAAATTCCAGATAGTGGCCCAGGATTGATACAAGAAAAATAAATTATGGAGAAGGAGAGATCAATTATGTTGTCAGGAAGAGTAAAAACAGAAAGGAAAATTTATTAAGGAACTCAGTTGCTAGCAAAGCAGTTGAGGGCATATTCCCTATCTGCACATTTGGCAGCTGTTGAAGATGTTGATTTAGAATATTCCCCAGAAAGTGATCTTAGACTGAAAGATAACAGGCCTTAAAATGAACTGAGATAATTGAAGCTAAAAACAGAAAAAACAATTTGGTAGAAAACATTTTAAAGCTTTTCTTCAGGTTTATTGTGTTAAATGCAAATCAGAAATGAAAGGGGAAAGGAGTAAAAGAAAAAAAGAGTGACTTCTGTCTCTTGATGCAGTAGAATACAAAATACAGTTAGTTGCCACTCAACTTTTTGCTTTAGCCTCCTATTGGATACAAACCATTTCTATAGCAACAGTTACTCTAGTCATCAAAACCTAAGATCATTTTTTTTTTTTGGAACAAAGTCCAAAAGTAATTTTCAGGTGGAAACAAGGTCTTCTGAATAAGGTCCTCTCTTCAGTTAATTTTGCCATCTCTGTCAACTTTGCTTCTCCAATTAATTTTGTCATCTCTGCCCACTCCATCACATTTTTCATCCTTTCTTCTATGGTGGGAATCTTTCTTTAAAATTCTTTATCAAACAGTCCTTAAAGGAAAATATCAGTTTTTAATTTTATATTTGATTTAATAATCTTCTAAATTGAGACCAAAATCTGTCCCAATATTTTTTCGCTTTGTCACAAGTCTACCAGAGATGATAAAATATACCCAATGGGAAGTGTTGATTTACCTTCTATCTTCATTTTATTGTGATAATAATACAAATAAGTAGGAACTGTTGTTTTGGGTTTTTGGCTTACACTCAAAACTTACAACAGACCAAATTCCAAATCTGTTTACCACTTTAAAATGTCCTAGGTCCTTAAAGGTTAATAAATATATGGTAATTGTTTCTTTGAATGCATATAGATAAATCCAATGTCTTGTTTTAAGAGCTACCGGGCCCAATATAGACTTAAAACAAGGTTTAAATTATTCACAGCAATATTCTTATATGCTTTACTTTTTTCTAGCTGGAAGGCCACAATATTTTCTCTAATTTGAACTCCAATGAATATGAACAGGTCTTGGAAATTATCCGCAAAGCCATTATTGCTACAGACCTTGCTCTGTATTTTGGAAACCGAAAGCAATTGGAAGAGTTACAACAAACAAGATCACTGAATCTTAAAATCCAACCACATAGGTAAAATACAAATGAATATTTATGGTTTGAAATCTCAATCATATTTCCTTATTTTGAAGGCTAAATATTTAGCTTCCTGTATTTGGCTATACAACTAGTCTATTATATAAAACGTTCTGAGGAATGTGTCCTAAACCCTCGTAAAGGAATCAATCAAGAGTTATTTTACTGTTGGTATCTATTGAGAAGTGCATTCGGGAACGTTCTGATAATTTTGAATTTGGAGTATGGTTGTGCTATGGTTAGAATGCAATTTTGTGGCTAATTCTGCATTCCACTGCCAGGAGTTCGATCCTGACTGGCTCAAGGTTGACTCAGCCTTCCATCCTTCCAAGGTCAGTAAAATGAGGGCCCAGATTGTTGGGGGCAATAGGCTGACTCTGTAAACCGCTTAGAGAGGGCTGTAAAGCACTGTAAAATATCTAAGTGCTATTGCTATTTACAGTGCTGAGATGTGTGTAAGATTTAAGATCAAATTTTATATAAAATTGAACCCTAGACCCTTTGCTTCGCATATAACATGGATTTTATGGGAAATTACTTTTAGAGGCTATTAATATAATAAAGTATTTTGCATAATAAATTAAATCTACAATAAGAATGCAATTTTTAAGATCTACAGAGATCTATAGCTATACAACATCAGATTAACAAAAATCTGTCAATGTCAATGAAACACCATAGAGGTGAATATGAATCCAAGATTCAAGGATGTTTTATCACACAATCATTTTTCGCTTATTTAACACTGTTTCGTACTGCTTGGGCAATGCTATGCTATAATATATTTGAGTTGGTATGAAGCTGCAGTAACCAATTTTGTTGCATTTTTATCTTCCCTTTCAGCAGCTAATGACTAGAGTCTTTTTGGTGGAATGTATTCCTTTGTGGCTGTATTTTTTCCAAACTATAATACAATACAATACAATAGCAGAGTTTGGAAGGGACCTTGGAGGTCTTTTAGTCCAACCCCCTGCCTAGGCAGGAAACCCTA